ATTCATTGGAGCAAGGTACAAGAAACCATCTGTCCAGGGTTCCAGTAGTTTTTTAGCTTTTCCTGTGGCTGGGACATTGTAATCTCTTAATGCTTTTTCTCACTGCTGCAGGACTTGGTGTCTATCTAAGGAGTTCAAGGAGAATTTGACACTAAATGGACCTTTCTGTACTAACATTGCTATAGGGAAACCCACTAGAAAGTGAAAGAAGCTATGAATTTCTGCAGTGGAACAGAAGAGTGCATTCATGTCCTGGTGTATTCTGGCATATATTTTGCCTGCTGGATACAGACACAGTTATAAGTGCAGAACAGTGAAATTCCTGTCATTTCAATAAGCCTCAGCAGGATTAACAGTTTAGGTGTTCTACTTGTCTCAGCTGTGGGGGTCAATCTGTTTGGAGCCTGCATATTGCACCTGGTCCTGTATAAAATGCTTCATGGAAAGTGGAAGATGGATAAAATTCAATATTTAGGCTAGTGAGAGAGTGTGAAAATGACTCACAGGGAGGAATTCTTTCCTAGTAGCTAACCTAACCCTACTCTCTGTCATCCATGGTGGCATCTCCTCTGCCCATGGCCCACCAGCTCTCAGCCCATTTACTGCCTGTTTTGCAGAGGACTCCTGTATCTTTGAGCTCCTCCAGGTTGTCATGTTCTTACCCAGGGAGGAGAAAGAGGCCCAGATCAGTGGTGCCATCAGGGAGTTTGCAGCATGGACTCAAGAGCTTCCTGTTCTCCTTGGCCATAACCTGGTCTAGTGAAAGGTGTCCCTGCTCATGGCAGGGGGTGGAAGTAGATGATCTTTAAGGTCCTTCCAGCCCAAACCAGTCTGTGAGTCTATGATTCAGCACATGGAGCCTGGAATGGGCACAGCATGGTGCAGCTGAGGGCTGTGAAAAGGAGGTGGAGGAGTGTTTAGGAAAAACATTAGTAGACACACTGCTCATTTTCAAACTGGATATAATGCACAAAAAACTGGATATAAAGTAGTAAATCTAGTCTTCAGGGCACCTTTTTGTCCAAAACTGGTCAAAAGGCACATTCCTGTCCCTTTGGCTTCAAATTGAAAGGGTTTTTCTTTTAGAATCCTCTCTAAACAAGCTACTTCAGAGTGAGATTTTCAGACAAGGAACTCAAAGGGAGGAGAGAAATCTGTTCCTAACTTCCCGTCTTGTGCTCAGGTATTTTGCCATCTGGAATGTCGTGCTGCCTGGTGCAATACCTCTGTGATGCTGTAACACAGCAGGATGCATTCATGGGAGTTTCAATCCTAAACCCACAACATCAAGGAAATTTATAGTTGTCAAGCTGTTAACATTATTCCAACCGTGTCTTTGTGGTTTCAGTTCCCATTTTTGGGGGCTGAAAAGTCATTGTGTTGACTGCCCAGAGTCCTCCTTAGCCTTGAAATTTCTGTAGAGCAATTAAATATTGTTTATTACTCTTGACAGCACTCAGAGTAATCACTACAGGGAGGGGAGGAGGTATTTGCCTGAAAAAATTGTGCTAGAATCTCAATATTTCAGTTAGTTTAATATCCTTAAGTACCAAAAGTGCCTTGCTCACGTGTTGGAAAATACCACAGAAATGTTCAAAGAAGAATAGAAAAATGTATGTAAAACTCCAGTATTATCTTCTATGATCATATAGATTCCATCTGATCTTCCTGATGGGTAAC